AACCCTAAATCCTAGTCCCTAAATCCTGAACCAGGCTCCAGGCTCAGTCGCAGGGCTGTGAAGGCTCCGCCCGCGCGCTGTGCGCCCGTCAGGGTGATGTTCACCTGGGATATCATCTAAACTCCTTAAAAAAGGGGTGGGTATTTAGGGGATTATATGAGCTATAGTCTAAATAAACTCCTTAAAGGGAAATATGTAGGGGATTATATAGGGGACTACTATAGGGGTTATTAAGGGGATACTAGGAGTTTAGACTATAGCTCATATAGGTGAGTACTATACGGGATATTAAGGGGGATACCAGTACTAGGTGCTTAGACTATGGCTTACCTTGAACAAAGACCACGATGGTTTAGGTTTGAGGCTAGAAAGAGGAAAGCTGGCACAACCTGATAAAGCCTATTCCCCAAGAATTACAAGATCTCGGAGGTCTTTGGTGATGCAAGATTTCTTTCATCCACCGTAGGACTAATTAGGATCCACGGGAACCTAGGACTGAAAAGGGTCCCCATCTTTCAGTCGTATACATAAACTAGGACCCTAAAAAAGGGGGGGACGGGACTTGCTGGGGAACTTTGCCTGTAAGTAAGATTCACGCTGCAGATCGTGAATCTTGTCTTGCGGGCTAATATATCTCATATCGTACCGCCAATAAGAACTTTTGGAAACCCCGACCACTATAAGAAGGACCCTATGTAAGTCATATGAGGGTCACAAGGGCCTAGGTGTGTAAAGTTCAAGCTCTAAACCCTCAACCTTAAACCCCAAACCCTGTTGGGGTTCCGAAGATCCCTGAATTACTCTAGGTTCCCCAGTTACCCATTAATAAGAAAGGTACCCTTTTTCCGACTCTTCAGTTTTTAATGAGGAAACCCCAAAATAAAAAGGGCAAAAGGGTACTACTGGGGTACCTAGTACTAAGCGGAGCTGAAGAGTGGTGAGGATCACCTCTAAGTTTGCAGTCAGAAAGGCGCAGAACTCCCTGATGCTTAGTGCACCTGACCCATAAGTGCTAAGGCACGTGTAGGTTCGTCTGCAACCCTTGACTTACCATAACAGAAATATAATTCCTGCTAATTCCCTAGGATTATGCGATCATAAAACTTGAAATTGTTCCTAGGAAAATAGGAGTTGCTGGTTTCGGACTGCCAGATCCATAGCTCTGAGGTTCAAGGATTTCGGGTCTGTAAGTTTATGAGTTTAGGGTTGAAGGGGCTTAGGGTTTAGGGCAAAAAAAGAATCGTATCATACTTATTATCCAACTCTTACTGAGTTGGGCGCAGTATCCAAAGCTTAGAGCTTACATCCTAAACCCTGAATTGGGGTTCAGGACTCAGGGGTTCAAGCACCTAGGGCTTGGAGGCTTGGGAGTTCAGGATTAAGTACGGCTCAAGGGCGTAGGATCTCTGAGTTGAGAGTTTAAGGCTGGGGGTTTGGGCTTCAGGGGTCAGAGATGCAGGTCTGAGTAGGCATTTGTTGGATATTTGGAGGATCAATGTCGCGCAGAAAGACCTTGGGGAGGGTTATACTGAGCATCAGAATGAAAATTCCTCCCCCCCCCAAGACGGATAGAAACTAGGCCAATTCAACACAAAGTCTTCTGGGTTGTCAAGCCTCTGTTGCATATCCCAAGCATAAGCCGGGACCCTTAAGGGTCTGTGTCGGGTGGGGACAAGGACTGAAGGTCTAGACTAGCGGCCCATAGCTCTGATCCGAGAAAGATTGGGTTTCCAAGAGTGTCCTTGTGATTAGGATTGTTCTAGGTTGGGGTCCACATCCCTAAATCCCAAGCGTTACACTTCGTAGAACATGTCAAATAAACTTCAACAAGGCATAACCTTGAGTACCAACGTGGGAAAACCTGATTTGCTTCTGAGAAGTCTTGTACAAAAGATCCCTAATGGGTTTGGTGTGTTTGGACAATTGCGGGGTTTCTTGCGTGTTAAACGGATATAAAACTATTTGAACGTAGAATAAACTATGTCAAGCTGTGTTTAGCATGTTTCATGCTATCCAACTATATCCCAATAGGGTTCAAAACCAGAAACCTTGTTTCTTTAGAGAATGAACGGATCCAATGAAGGATGCCCCCAAATTATCCGTTTCCACGTGAGTGCCCGTCACATAATTTTGACCCTAACGAATAAGACTGCTCCCCTTAATGGGGGTTATAATAAGGATGCTAGTATTCAGGCCTTTAAAAGGAGGCGGTTCATTAAGGACGGGTCTAAATTAAGGCTCATATAACGCTCCTATGAGGGGTAACGGGGCTAGATGAGGTTTCTATAGGCCTTTTTCAAAGCTACCCACTAGATAGCTGGCCACCTGTAGTTCCCTGATCCAACGAACAGAAAAACTATACAACTGCATAGTTGCTGACTCATTTTTTGCAGCAGTTCGAGAATCCGTGTAATCTGGGGTCCATGCCTGAGGAGCCAGAAGAATGAGATCGGCTGCATTGGGAGCTCTGCCAGAAACATAGGAGGGAAATGAGGAAATTGCTTTACTTATACGTGTAAATCATTCAGGCTCCTCATGTGGACGTGCACCATATGGCCCTCTGTACAGAGCCTGCGCCATGGGACACAAAGCTGTATACATAATTCTGAACACTGACGCTAGGAGTGTATCCCAATGTCTCATTTTCTTTGACTGGTATGACTTGCGTACGGCACCCACCCAGTGACAATCTGTGGTACGAAAGGCTGCCTTTTTTTCAAAAACATGTGCGTCTACAACCGTTTGGAGAAAGTACCCGAGGTATCATCTACACATCTACCCTCACCCAACAAACATGAAACACCTACAGGCCTCTGAATTCCAAACCTCTACTAGAGCCCACACCGTAGATGTACCTAGAACGCTAGTTTCAATTCATTTTCCATTTCCTTTTCCATTCGATTCTCCGTGATTAAGGTACTATCCCTGAATAAACCCTGCACAACCCCAGTATGATCCCCATACAATGCCTGGATCACCCTACACTCTGTATTCCTCCCTCCACTCCCCATGGAGAGCAGTAGTTACTTTGCTCAGGTCCCATGAGCAAATCTTTCCACATCCGACGTGGGACTTTCCCAGTCTCAGGGTGGGTGCGAGCTCCCGATAGCTTTCAAACAAGGGAGGCATAGTTTTTATAAACCCCACCTACTGTCACCTACTATATGATCTTGGTTCTCAGGAGTTCCAAAAGCACCCAATCTTAGAAAATCATCAGCTTGCTAGAGAGCAGGGTCCCCTGTTACGGGGACCATCAGGCTTGGACTTGCGCAGCGGAGTCTTGTGGCTCTCTTGGAATGTGAAAGTCTCTGGGCAAAAGTCCTGCCGCCGCATAACAGATGCAGCAGGGCTTCTGATGGTGCATTAGCGAGAGTATTGCAGGGTACAGCAATGAACGATTGGCTTCCTTAAACGGGTGTACCTGTAAGAATCCTAAGTGCGAAAGAGCGAAGACTGAGCCTACGACTCTGCAAGTCTCTGCAGCATCATGCGCCCTTCTCGGGCACATTCACGCATTCCATATTCTACAAGTCTACCCAGCACATCGGAACACCTCATGACATGAGCTCGGTAGATGCATGGTGACTCCAGCAGACTAGCGCCAGGATTTGGCCATGTCCTTGAGGAACAGGAAGCCGAAGCAGTCTGCCTCCAGTTCAGATTTCCAGGGGGAGATGAGCTGTTCGGACTTCTCAGCTCCCCAGGCAGTGTACCAGCGACGGTCCTGGAGCATGGTCTTCGCTACGTGGCGGCCGTACCGGGTCTTCGCCAAATCGATGATGCGGTTGAGATCCAGGGCATACAGCATGGCCCTCTGATCCTCGTCACTACAGTTAGACAGAACCTTCTCGATAAGGTAGCTGGTGTTCTTGTGATCTGCAAATCTCATAACATCTGTAAGCAGAGTTCGGGCAATCCTGTGCTTGTGTCGCTCCTCACCATGCTCCATGACAGACTCCACGACGTGGTGTGCAAAGGAGTGGCAGCACAGCTCCGATATTTCCGGCATCAGCTCATCCACGAGGCGGCCTACCTGGGGGTTGGTGCTGCAGAATTCCAGAAGACGGCACAAGGTGCGGCAGCCCATCCGGTGTTTTGCCACCATTATGGCAGAGCCCTGGATCGCCTGCACAATGAAGCTGGAGCTACCTACGGAGAGCTGCGCGACAGCCTTCTGGATCACATAGTTCCCATGTGGATGCTTGATGGCCTTGAACTATAGTAGTTTCCATTTTGTTTTCCATTATCCCTATATAACCCCAAGATACTACAGCAGTTTCTATTTTGTTTTCCATTAGCCCTACATAACCCTAAGATACTAGGAGGAGTAGGAGCCCGCAGCCCTCAACAATAAATCTTTGACTCATATCGCTGGGCCCTTATCCCCACACCCTCATCCCTTCATGAAAAATTCCTTCGCCTTTTCATGCATGCGTCCCTAAACCCTAAACCCTAAAGCCTAAACCCTAAAGCCTAAAGGCTTAAGCTGGCTGCCTCCAGGATGTGGCCACGAAGCTCCCAGGCGATGGTAGCAGCTTCGCGACCACCCTTCCTTGCTGTAAGGGGTTACAATAGTACCCCTCCCAAAAGTACCCCCCTCCCCACCCCCGATCTAGAACCTTAGTAGGCCTTATTAAGCCGTACATAATCCTTATTAGCTCCTTAAACCCTGGAGCATTTTTGGGGAGGATTATACTGGTGCTTTCTAGGATGGCATGGAGGAATGGATCCTAACCGAAAGTACCCCCTAAATAATCCTATAAACGTGTAGCAAGATAGTCGTTTCCATTTCCTCTTGTGCTCCTTCATTCTATACTACTAACTACCTGGCAAGCTTCTCCAGGGCCTTCTGGACCAGACGGCAGCCGTCCTTATCCTGAGCCAGAGCCCAGACGCGGCCCCTCAACTGCGCTTCAGAGCTCTCTTGCTTCCAGGGCTTTTGATGCTGTTTGCCCTCAGATCCAACATTGTGAGCCAGGTCAATGGCTTCCTCCCTAGCCTTGCGCTCTGCAGCACGCCTTCGGCGCAGGCGCCTGGCTGCTGAGGCTGATGTCGGCTTGGTATGGGGAGGGCTCATT